GCAACGCTGAACTTTGGATTGAAGATTTTGGAGGAGGCGTTTGATGCTGTCAATCTCAATACGCAGTTCTTGCACCAGCGAAGCTAACACTTGATAGCGAGCGCTTTCGGAGGCCTGGGAAGCACGAGAGGTTTCAACGGCCCTGCTCTGACTCCAAAGTTGTATATCCAAGGTATGAACTCTGGCCCACAGGAGACCAAGCTGAGACGCTGAAACACTGTCTTCACTATCCGAGAGTACGGCAGGGCTCTCGGCTTCCATCTACCGGGCAACGCACCCTCCTCCGGTCTGCGACAAGCTAAACCTTTAGCACCTCTAGGGAGCCTAACAGCTACGCTAGCTTCACACACGCGCCTCGAGGCAAAAGAATTTCCGCTCACGTGGACAGCTTGAGAATGTCGTGCAACAGTAGGAACATGTAGTTTATCCGAATCACACGCACNNAGCAAGCATATGTTGACTCTTATTTCTGTGACATTGTGCTCGTGGAATTAAGGAACTGTAGCTCATTTGGTCTCTTGCGTAAAGATTGCGGCCAAAGCCAAGTATTGTTTTGGCCGAGGGACCGATGAGTAATGATTTTAGAATTTTGACACTGGCAAGCATGATCTACTCACTTGCCTGCGCCATTTGATTGGTTGCCACATGGTTGCATCTGTTGCACCTCTTTGATTGCCACACTTGGTTGGTTGACTTGGCACGCTGTTGCATTGAGCCTGGTTGTACATGTTGGTTGTGATTGGTATTGCTGGACTTTTGTGCTTGACTTTCTTGGCCAAAGTTACTCATGGTCGAGCATGTTGCATTCCCCCTACATTTGACCTTGATTGGATTGCATGTTGAGCGTGTTGGATTGTCACCAGAATTCATAAATTGGAATTTCAGTTCCACTGCTGCTTTGGCACTTCAGTGTCATTGCTGCTGGACCAGTTTGAACTTGCTGTGGATTGTTTCAGAAGCTGCAGATTGGCATACGATCGTTTGCGTGTTTGATTGAGATGGTTTTCGGTTGCGCTGATTGGTTTCAAGTCTTATCTGGTTATTGCAGTTGACATTTGATTGTGAAGACTTTTCAGTTGTGTGGTTGAATATTCCATCTTGGGATTCACTGAACTGATTCATTGCCATCTTTGTGCGCTACACATGGTAACATGAGAGAAGTTGGATTTGCATCCAGCGACTCAGCTTGTTTTGGTTATGGAATTGTTGATAGTGTTTGGAAGATTGTTATTGTTGTTGTATTTGATTGATCAGACATTGCGAACGTTGTCAGGCTTGGATTGCGTTAGTTGTTTGAGTCGCTGAGACACTGTGTTTGAAGGACTCCAGTTGTCTCTCTGCCTTGTTGTTGTTCAGTATTGGACAGCAGTGTTGCACTTTATCGGTATGTCTCACTGCGTGCCTGAGGTTCTTGAAGAATGTATAGTTGAGCCTATTTTGTTGCATTGCTTGAGTTGCAGTTGATTGACCTCGGAGCTTGCTTGATTTGTTGTTTTGTTTGCTACTGACTGATTGGACGGTATGATTGGTCGCTGAGAGGATTTGATATCGCCAAACGACCGTCAGATTTCACTTCTGTTGTAGATCCATTTTGATTTCTTGCTTGTCGTTGATCCATTCGTTGCGTCGGAGAATGTCGCAGTGACATTGGTTTCAGTTGATTCAGTCAACTAATTGTCTTTTGATAGATGTTCATTGCTCCTCATCTCGAAAGCAGTTTGATTTAGTGACATCCGCAGTTGGATACGTCTTTGACGTAGATTGGTTGTGGACTGTTTGCGCTTGCAGCATTGCAAACCTTGTCTCGTTGCCATGTTGATCTCCATGTTTGGTTGATTGACTTGATTTTATTCCCATAGCACAAACCTCCCAGTTATATAGCTCATCCAAATGTATTCATATTCGAAGCGTATGAAACAAAATCAAATCATGTATTCAATGATTCACTCGACGCGCTCATTTTGCTTCTCATGCACACGCAGGTAACAACGGGGGAAAGTCCAAAGGCTTGAAGTGATGCCCCACATGCAAATGATACCCCTTGGCATCACTCGCATTATAGGCCCCTTCGGACCAATCACTTTTTTTTTTGAAGTCCCTTCGGACTGGCATCACCTGGGTGGGTGGGCGGGTCAAAATCTAGCTCTGGCCTACCTCAGAGCCCGGCTGATGGCACGGTACATAAGATGACCCCTCCATCCGCTCAAAATCGGACCATGTGCTTGTACAAATCAAATACGCAATCATGCTCACATGAAATCTTGCGTACATGAAACAAACACACGTCCAGGAATCTCACTCACAAATTCACTCGCTTCATTGCTACAAACATGTGAGGTCGATGCGCATTCGCATCTGTTGGGCCCTAGGAATAAAGGGTTATCAGGTTTGAAGTGATCCTTATTCTCATAGCACAAACCTCCCAGTTATATAGCTCATCCAAATGTACTCATATTCGAATCGTATGAAACAAAATCAAATCATGTATTCAATGATTCACTCGACGCGCTCATTTTGCTTCTCATGCACACGCAGGTAACAACGGGGGAAAGTCCAAAGGCTTGAAGTGATGCCCCACATGCAAATGATACCCCTTGGCATCACTCGCATTATAGGCCCCTTCGGACCAATCACTTTTTTTTTTTGAAGTCCCTTCGGACTGGCATCACCTCCACCGCCCCCCATCCTTACCTGATGCCTTCATACACCGGATCCACCTTCCGGAACATGTGCAAGTACCGGCTGAACTGCAAGCGGGACGCATCATCTGAAACATTGCTCCTCGTAGGTACACGCGAGTACCAGCTCATGGCATGTGATTGCAAATCTGCTTTGGCCACTGATACAAGCAAATCGGTAGCATCACACACCGGAGAGAAAGATCGAATCAAGCACGACCGGGTAGCCTCATTATCGAGGTAGAAAAAGCACAAGCGACGGCTGACTACATGCTTCCACGTAAGCTTGGCCACAAGAACTGGGAGGATTTCAGCAAAGAAAATCAACTGCTTGAGACGCGTCCGTCTCCACTTGGTGACCAGCCAACCAGGCACTCCGTCGCCGAAGAACTCTTGGCAGCCCGTGGCCAAGTCAAACATAACCGCTCCACGCGTGACCAAACGGCCTTCATCCTCGCACGCACCGTCAGAGAAAATCAGGACTGGCGGTTCGCCGCCCCAAGCG